TTGGTATTTAAACACCTTGAATCCATTGTTTATGCAGCAAAGGCCTACAATTACTATCAATTAAGATTTAAAATGGTATTTAAACAGCTTAAGTCCATCTTTCAAGAGCCTGGTCTAGATTCTAGACCAATCATTCATGGCATACTAGACTCTAGAATGTATGTCCTAAAAGGTTTGATTTATTAAATATAACTTGCTTTCAGCTGAAGAAACCCTGGCTGCAACTAATGATCATTATCTCAATTACTGGATTAATAGTAAGGTCTAGAACATTTCCAAAACTTTCAGAAAATGTCCAGTTTCTCATAATCCAACGTAAAGTCTTTAAATGTCTTGTTCTGTCGATTCAATATGTTATTAAACAGAGAAGAAGCACATCTATGTATTTGAGAGGCTTAACTTTGCTATCAATTAGGATTTAAAATGACTTACCTGTCGACCAATTAATCAATTAGTCGTCTAATCGCTGCAGCTCTATTGTTCAATGTTCACTTCCTCCTCTACTTCCTTTCTCTTTTAATGCCTGCTTTAGTTGCTTCCCTTCCACACACACACACACACACACACACACACACACACACACACACACACACACACACACACACACACACACACACACACACACACACAGACACACCGACACACCGACACACACACACACACACACACACACACACACACAGTTAACGAGCATACCTTCACAGTCTAGTGATCACACTGGGCTCTGTGTGTGGAAACCTTTGTGTCTCCGGCTGTAAAAACTTTTTTAATTTGTCACCAACAGTGAATTAGCAAACACTGAAACACCTGTCCTCCTCGTTGTTGTTGTTGTTGTTTCCCCCGACATGTAAATCTTGTTTCCACATCTCTAAATTTAAGTCAGAGTGGAGAAACACACAGGATGTTTGTGCGGCTGTTTTCCAATCAGGACAACAGAACCGTCGGTGAATCACTGCGGGACAAAAGGGGACGTTTGTCCAATGGACTCCTTTCAGAATGAACTGGTTACCGTGCCAACAAACTCCCATTAGACCCAATCCCATTGTCTGGTTTTAAAAGAGCTGCTTTAGGGCTTTTATTTTGAAGGAGAGATCGATCCAGCAGCTGTAGGGATGGGGTTAATATTCCTGATCAAAACTCAGCACTTAGTCCAAGATTTAATTTTTACATTTCTAAGAAAAAACATGGAGATTTTTGTGGAACATCTAAAAGGACATGTATCACAAATCTGCTCGGAAAAAATCTATGTAAAACTAATAATAATACATTAATTAATATTACTAAATAATATTACATTCAATAAAATATATGTCCATTCACAGTGGGGATTCTTTTACTGGGTGGACGCTATTTTAATGAGGTCATCCCAAACCATGCCACAAGTGCAGGTCTACAGAAAGTACCGCTATGCTTAGTCCTACTTTAGTTACTGTACTGCAAAAAGCAGACGGCGCTGCACTCAACACACACACACACACACACACACACACACACACACACACACACACACACACACACACACACACACACACACACACACACACACACACACTAAACCATGGACACACCGGCACATAAGTTACATAAAACTATGTATAGGCCTAAGTTGCATAAAGGCTTGAGCTACAGTACTCTCTCTCTCTCTCTCTCTCTCTCTCTCTCTCTCTCTCTCTCTCTCTCTCTCTCTCTCTCTCTCTCTCTCTCTCTCTCTCTCTCTCTCTCTCTCTCTCTCCACTTTGGAAATCTATTTAAAATTCATAACAAACAAACAAAGTTGTCAAAGTTGAAATTAACTTAGTAAATAAACGAAACCAAAAAGATAGCCTACTTATGCAACATTGAATCTGGACTTGAAATGATTCTGATTAGGCCTAGCCCACATGCATGGCGAATAAACGGATCTTGTATGCACACCGCTTCGGCATTATTCCTGGCGCTCTCTTTCTCACACACACACACACACACACACACACACACACACACACACACACACACACACACACACACACACACACACACACACACACTGTCATTGCAAATAAGCAGACAGCGCGGGGCTCCAAATAAGTGGGGGAATGGCGATCCCCCGCGTCCAACGACCACTACACCACTGTCCATTCAGCAGCACACACTTTATTAAACAGCCCTGCAGACCCTGTGTGTGTGTGTGTGTGTGTGTGTGTGTGTGTGTGTGTGTTCCTCTGCCTCTCTTTCACTGTATTACTCTGAGTCTGGAAGAGGTGCAATATAGAAACATGGAGCAGGTTATTGAACCAGCTGTCACTCAGCTTTCCTGAGTCACAGTGTGTGTGTGCACCAAATGAAAATCAGTGTGTGTGTACACGACACACACTGATTTTTATTTGGTGCTGTAGAAACCTGGACTTATGATCACCCTGAGTCCTTTTCCTACCTCCATAGTTCCAGTCAGTGTCCATCCTGGTCTCTGAAGCAACAACGGAGACTTCCATAAATCACACACACACACACACACACACACACACACACACACACACACACACACACACACACTCTTTTCTACGAGTGTGTTATCTCCAGAGTGATAATTGTACTCCATCCGATCAGAGTGAGAGTTCTCCTCCGATGTCCTCTATAATGATCAGAGGCAGAGATTATGAGCTGTTGAACTCTGAGGGTTATTCTGGAGCGATGGACTCTCTAATGAACACCATGCAGATCAGACGTTTAACCCCGTCATGTCTGTCCTGTTTGTTAGCATTAGACATGCTAATCAGATGCTAATGTGGGTGGGCATCGAAGCGCAGAAAACAGACATGAGCGAAAAGGATCATTAAAGACCCCGGATATAGAAACCCCTTAGAGAGGATTCAGAAGAAGGAACACAGTGTGATTTAAGAGGATTTTGAGGTCAATTTGTCATATTTGATATTAAAGTGAATATCCTCGGACTGAGGCTTCATCTTGACTTTAAACGCTAAAAACAGGCATTTTCTGTGACTAATCTGCAGATGTATTGATAATGAATTAGTGTATGGTGCTGATGAAGTTGAAATGGTTGATCCAGAAATCACTTGCGGAGAAAAACAATGTGATTTAAGAGGATCTTTAGACATTTCTTCAGGTTAATTTGGTGTTTTTTTAACAGTATATTGGATTTAATTAGCTAGAAATATAATTAAATGTTATTTATCGCCCAATATCCCAAAGATGTATTTGTCTCAGGAGGAGAGGTGCATTTAAACTACAATGCACGTTTTTTAGCCATGCAAAGATTTAAAAACTCAATAAAGCTGCTATTATTCATATTAGAGGGAAAAAACCCTGTAAAAAATAAATCAATAACAACAACAATAAAAGACAAATCATCATGCAGAAAATAAAACATATAATCCATAAAGGGATGTAACTTAAGACACATATTTTGATATCAATTAATCAATTAAAAAGTGATTTGTTATTAAGTAATGTCATTAAATATATCATATGAAAGTGAATACCCTCTAGTTTTTGACTGAAGACAAAACGTTGACTTAAAAACAGGCATTTTCGGCGACTAATCTGCAGATGAATTGATAATAGCTCTGCCCCGGTGTCAGTGTAGCGTCTGCCGGGTTGAAATGGTGTGTGTTTGGAAACGGATCATTAATACAGTCAGAGTTTGACAGCCTTGTGAGTCTTTCAGAGAGCCTTCTGCTTTTTCACACACTTTAAAGTCACAGATCTCATGCCTGCTCTCATCGTGCTCCAGTGGCTGCCGTCAGGCCGTTGTGTGACGTGGGAAATGAAAACAAATCCGTGTGTGTGATTTGGTGCCAGGAACATGGCGGCTGTACGAACATCAGTGACGTTGTTGTTGCAAGAGAACGAAAAGAAAGGAATAATATTTCTCCTGTGTTTTTAAATATTTCACGAAAAGTTTTAGATGTTACTCCTTGCTTTGGATTTCATCATGGCCTCCTGTCACTCACACACACACACACACACACACACACACACACACACACACACACACACACACACACACACACACACACACACACACACACACACACGAGGGTATTACCTAAATAGAATGAATTATTACCTGCTTTAACTCCCTTAATTGCTTTTATTCTGCCAACCATAGGCACAGATGAATGAGTGGGACACACACACACACACACACACACACACACACACACACACACACACACACAACCACACACACACACACTCATGTTGATGGATGTCTCTTATTTCCAGCTCTCTCTCCCTGAGGCTCGGAGAATAACGTCTTCCTCTTCAGTCTCATTTTCAAACAGCCTGGGAACCATCGTCCTCAGGGAGCGCAGGAAGTCAGAAAGAAAGTAAAAGCACTTCCCCTCCGTCTTGATTCACACACTTAACATGTCTTTGAAAATCAGCCGCCTTCAGCGATGGAGATCAGGTGTCCATTGTGACGGCTGCAGAGAGTTGAAGCTGCACACACACACCTCCTGTTTTGGTGTTAAGGTGTTCGTGTATTGGGGCTAAAGTAGAAATACTGAAGGACCTTAAGTGGTGACTTTTCGACTGCAGATGGGGTCGCACACTAGCAAGCCACATGGACGCCTGGGAGCTACTTAATTGTACAGTATATGCTACACACATACGGCCAGGATCCGTTGAACTTTCTGAATATTGGGTTGCAGATTAGAATGTTCCAAAGGGGGTTCGTTCAGCTTGAAGCACTTAGAATAACTAACGGACGAGTTCAACAAGAAAGTAGAAAGACTCAAAAGTGAGCAATGATTGAGAGTCTAAACATTTCAGATGTGTGTATCTCACACTGCTCTGTCACTTTCATTCATGTTTTTTATCTTTGCTTTTCAATGAGTGTTTTTAAATGTCATTTTATGATATGTTTCTTAATGTCTTTCGTTGTTGTGAAGCACTTTGAATGGCCTTGTGTTGAAAGGTGCCATATAAATAAATGTGCCTCGCTTACGACACCAAGATGTAATGCGTGTTCTGAGTGTTAACTCTTTATCTCTCTGCAGGTTTTTCTGCATCGTCTGGAGCAATACGCCGCCACCAGAATCGACAAGAACATCACGGAGGAGACGGTGAAGGTGAGGTCAGAGTGAGAGGCGTGGGGGCGAATAATGAGGATCTGGAAATGTGTTTTTATGCAGAAGGGTGTCCCAAATGTGTCAGAAAACACACCTAGTTTGGTGTTTGAGTCCAAGTTTCCTTTAGTCAATGACTAGTAGTGTTGAAGGCTGGATATGTGTTATAATATCTAGGTTCTGGCAAACCAACCTTGTTTCTTTAATGCCCTCAAATATTGGGAAACAATATCAGTCTGGTAAGTTTTCTCTCGTCTTTTGGCACATTTCCACTGCAGCGGGGTAGCCCCGTTTAAGCGTCCCTAAGCGTCCTCGCTCAGGCCTCGGGCTGCCTCGCTGGCCGTCCGAGGCCGCGGCGCATTTCATTACAGTTGAGGACCTGGGGTAGTTACTATAGCAACGCAGTGTAGGCGGGGCTCCCGTCGAGCTCCCGCTGGATTTGATCATCCCCAATGAGATGTAGGAACGTCGTCACCTCCTCGGTCGACCACGGCGTGCTTTTCTTTGACGTTGCCATTTTTGTAGCTCCTCCGTTTACAAAAATGCTGCAAGCTTGCTTCTAGATATATATATATGCGACGCTAGGGATGATCTCACACACGATCTTGTGACGATTCTCTCTGACCAATCAGCAGTCGAGAGTGTTGACGTCACTAGTTCAGCCCTGGCCCTGGTCTGATGGAACCACGATTTTATGGGGCCGGAAAAAGAGGGAAAAAGTACTCGCTAGCCGGCGCTACGCTATATGGAAAGGCCACCAAAAACTGGCCTGGCCGCTTGAGGACGATTAAGGACGCTTGAACGGGGCTACTCGCTGCAGTGGAAATGCGCCATTTTTGTCCTTTTTTCCACTTAATTTGGAGACGTTTCTGAACACATCTAAGTGAAACACACGGTTACAAGTGGAGCTTCTGCAGGATTCTTAATTTTACAGATGAATTGCTTCCATGACCTAATGCACGAGTCGACTTTAATAAGCCTTTTGACTCTTACTCTGCACACAGACCTTATCTTCAGTGTTTTAGTCCAGGTTTCCTTTGAGTACATCTCTTATACACACTAGATTTAAAGCAGGATCCTTTGTGGAGAAACTCTCAGTTTGACAGATCTGACGGTAAATCAACTCAGTGGATATTATATTGAAACTGCAGTCGTGTTGAAGGCTGGATATGTGTTATACTATCTAGGTCCTACGAACCAACCTTGTTTCTTTAATCCCCTCCTTAAGACTAAAGTAGAATGTTGTTTTGCTTTCAATCACCTAAGTTTCCCCTCATCTGTTTGACCTTTTTTATAGTTCTTTTCATGCTGAATTCTTCTTTTGGAGACGTGTCTGAGCACATCTGACATAAACACACCATTAAGAGCTTCTGCATGATTCCTTATACTTTAACCAGCTCTGACATTAGATGCATTTGACTCTGGCGTTTAAGTCCAAGTTCCCTTTAGTCAATGAGTAGTAGTGTTGACATGTCCCGGCCTACAAACCAACTTGTTTCTTTAATCCCCTCAAATATTGGGAAACAATATCAGTCTTTTCTTTTGTCTTTTAGTCCTTTTTTCCACTTCATTTGGAGACGTTTGAGCACATCTAAGCGAAACACACGGTTACAAGTGGAGCTTCTGCAGGATTCTTAATTGTACAGATCAATTACTTAACTAGCCCTGATATCAGATGCATTTGACTCTTACTCTGCACTCAGACCTTACCGTTGCAGTCATTTGATCCATAAAAGGTCCACACATGACCCTGTCTGTTGTTCTGGAGCTCTTCAGCCTGAAACAGGGATGCAGCGCAGCAGGAAGCAGCTGTGAATATAATCTATTTAAAGTGCTGCAGGATAATAAAGGAGGTAAATACTCATTCAGAAGGAGTTTACTGACGTCCGTGTTTAGAGATACTTCAGTGTTTGGGAACACGCTGTTCTCTGAGTTTAGAGAAAGAGGAGGGTCAGCATCGAGCAGCTGAAGGACATCGAGAGGAGAAGTGGTTCTGCACGACACCAGGAACATTGAATGAGGATGTTGAATATTAGCATGATTTACGATGGATAAACACGCACAGAAAGTTAGTCCTGTCTTTCTGCTTCACTGCAGTGATGCAATGAATTTGAAGAAAGTGAAAGGAACAATTTCCTAAAGTGCAAAAAAGCTATATATTTTAAAGGTTTTATTTATTTCTTAGTGCAGTTTTCCACTTGTCAAACTAACTCAAACACTGCAGTCCTACACAATGTGCTTATTGTGCAAGTTGACATTTAAAAATCTATATAATATGCAGTCTTCCTGAAAAGCTTTGATGAAATTTCACCTGATTTTTTGCAGGTTTTCTGAGAAAGCATTGAATGCATTCATGTCTTAATTTAAGCAATGTGAAGCATGTGTTCGGCAGTCATTCAGACGTCTCTGGGTATCGCGCCTCATTTCACATGTTTTACCACAAAAACAATCAAAACGGGAGTAAAAAAAGGCAGAAAAAGCAACACCATGCTGCACCAGATTGAACTCAATAATACTCTTTAAAGGGGACCTATCCTGCAAAATGCACTTTGTGATGTCTTTTCTACATAAACGTGTGTCCCCGGTGCGTCGGGGAACTCACGCAGCGTCACGGAATAAACCCCTCTCTCTTTTCCTCCGTACCCAAATCTTTTAAAAACGGGTGAACAACGAGCGGATACAGATTCCATCCGAGGTGACGTCGGCGGACCCACAAAGTGTTGCTGTCAGAAACAATGCCTGACGTGTTCTGGACGTCTTTGTTTACATTAGCAAGCCTCGCTAACACTCAGAGCTAACCTGTGCTGCAGAGCACGTGTTTAAAAAGCAGGAAATAAAAAGGAACTCACCTTGTGATAAACCCGCAAGAGAAAAAGCATTTGAGCTCCGTACTGTTCAGAGATAATCCTTGATGTGGTTTAGATAGGTTGGCGTTTTATCAAAGTAGAATTTAACTTTATCTCCGGTAGAATTCTGATCAGGCATTAGCTCCGCCTCCTCTTATTTCTTTTTTTCAAGCTAAGGACCCAAGATCCGCGTTTCTCTAACAGGGCTTCAAAGGAGGGGTTTGAGCAGAATGAGGCGTGGCTACAACGGGGGTCTGTTTGGTATTTTGAAAAAGAAACTTCACAGACATGTTTTAGGTATGGCCCTACAATATATGTTTCAACTATAGCATGATGGTCCACTTTAGTTAAAGCCTTCTCTGTTCTGATTGTGTTTCACCTTTAATCTGACAACAAATTGGTCCCCATTAAAATATCTCTATTAATGTTTGAAAAAAGACCTCTTAAGCCCAGATGCCCTTCTCAAAGGAGCCCCACCCCTCAGTGGTCACTGTTGATAGAGAACAGCTGGCGGATATTAAAAACACTCACATATTAAAATCCAGTTTCGGTGTGCTTTCCTCCCGCAGGTGTTGTTCTGTAACATCGAGGAGATCCTGGCGCTGCACAGAGACTTCCTGTCCATGGTGGAGGGTTTGATGCTGCCCGAACCCAACGCCATGCACGAGGTCGGACGCTGCTTCCTGCACTTTGTGAGTTACAATACAATATATTACAATATATTATAACGCATTACGATGATCTGATTTCTCCAAAGAGACGCCACAACCGTCACTGAATGCTTCATGCAAGTCGAGTGCTTGTGTGGGTCACACAGCTGCATTTGAGAGGACACCTTGATAGATTTAATACAATATATATTAAGATGATTCACAAATATGAAGCTGAGGTAGGGAGTGTATTGTATGGGACCTTTTGGGAGTGTTAAATCATCACAATACTGTTTTAAACCGGGCGGAATTGGGTTTTGTGCTCCACTTAAAATGAAAAAATGAAAATATTTGTATTTATTGAGATGTGAAATAAAAGTAAACATTTACAATATACATAAAGTAAAGAAGTTCAAGTAAAAAATAGAATACAAAATAATACAAATACATATCTGGACATAAGAAGTAAAATGTCTAATAAGAAATACTTTAAAAATAGAATTAAATATTCATATAATATACATATACATCAGAAGTTATACATCAAATAAGACTTGCTTAACAATAACAGATATAAAAAGGCTATTAACTCAAAACCTAACTGAATATCTGACTATCGTTTTGATAATGTTTAAACTCAGTGTCCGTGATGCATGCTCGGTCTTTGACTTATTTGAAGAGTTGTATTTCTCTTATTCACTGTCAGAGCTCAGACATGATGATAACTGCACATGCTATCAATGCATCGCTCCAAAGTGCACATGTGACGTTTGCTTCATCCCTGATGTTCAGCTCACTTCTCCTGAAGCTCGCTGACATAAAACAGGTGGAATAAATCACATTACATCTTTACAAGAGGAGTACATCTAAACGTCAGGCACACACGCAGTATGTGTCCTCCTGCTGCTGACCCAGGTGGAAATAAAAGAGAGGGATGACCTCGCTGATATCAATCACATCCTAACTGACCGTAGATCAGTCGTGAGGGACCGTGTGAGTCCCTGGAGATAAGACGTGTTCCCGTTATTCTGCAGATACTTCAACATGTCCTTCCTTTAAGTGCTGTGTCGATGCTCCTCATACAGAGCCACACCATGGAGGGACACATAGGGATTACGTAACGCTGGCTGAAAACTGAATCCTCCCTTTGGACCAAATCGGTTCCAAGGACTAAAAAATAACTCCTTTTAGAGATTCATAACTGCGTTTAGAAACACGATTTAAAACCAGAGCTGTGCAGCTGGATCTGTGTTTGTGTTGTTATGACGATAAAACATCTGCAGCTACAATAAGAAATTAGACTGTAATGCAGAAGAAGAACTGAGTTTCCCCTCAGGTTTAAGTTCTTCTTTCTGTCTTCATCTCTTTCAGTAATGGCTTTATTAGCAGGATGTTACAATACCTTTGAATAAAGTGTGATATATCACGAAGCACAAATTAAAACACATTACATTACATTACATTGCATTTAGCTGACGCTTTTATCCAAAGCGACTTACAATAAGTACATTCGACCAGGAAGACACAACCTTGAAGAAAACAGAATCATATAAGTACATCAGGTTTCATAGAGCCAAACATTTCAAGTGCTACTCAACTGGCTTTAGGTAAGCCAGTCCTTTATTAGTATAAAAGTGCTTCGTTAATCGTTCTAACGCTCGAAGTGGAGTCGAAAGAGATGAGTTTTCAGTTTGCGCCGGAAGATGTGTAAGCTATCTGCCGTCCTGATGTCAATGGGGAGCTCATTCCACCATCTTGGAGCCAGGATAGCAAACCCACGTGTTTTCGCCGATGGGAACTTGGGTCCCCCTCGCAGCGAGGGCGCAACGAGTCGTTTGGCTGATGCAGAGCGTAGTGCACGCGCTGGGGTGTACGGTTTAACCATGTCCTGGATGTAGGAAGGGCCAGATCCATTCGCAGCATGGTAAGCAAGTACCAGTGTCTTGAAGTGGATTCTAGCAGTTACCGGAAGCCAGTGAAGGGAGCGGAGGAGCGGAGTGGTGTGGGAACATTTAGGAAGGTTGAAGACCAGACGAGCCGCTGCATTCTGGATGAGCTGCAGAGGTCGGATGGCACATGCAGGTAGACCAGCCAGGAGGGAGTTGCAGTAGTCTAGGCGTGAGATGACGAGAGCCTGGACCAGAACCTGAGTCGCTTTCTGAGTCAGCTGGGGACGTATCTTCCTGATGTTGTAAAGCGTGTATCTGCAGCAGCGGGTTGTAGCAGCGATGTTTGCAGTGAAGGACAGGTTGTTATCTAGGGTCACACCCAGATTCCTTGCAGTCTGAGTCGGGGAAACAACTGAGGTGCCGATGTTGATTGTTAGGTCAAGAGTGGGACAATCTTTTCCCGGAAGGAAGAGCAGCTCAGTCTTGTCAAGGTTGAGCTTGAGGTGGTGAGCAGACATCCACTGAGAGATGTCAGCTAGACAAGCAGAGATGCGTGCGACGACCTGGGTCTCTGAGCGGGGAAAGGACAGAATTAATTGGGTGTCGTCAGCGTAGCAGTGGTATGAAAAACCATGCGGGCTAATGACTGATCCGAGCGAGTTTGTGTACAGGGAGAAGAGGAGGGGACCAAGAACAGAGCCCTGAGGGACCCCTGTAGTTAATTGACAAGGGTCGGACTCAGACCCTCTCCAAGTCACCCTGTAGGTACGGTCTTTCAGGTATGAGGTGAGGAGGGAAAGTGCAGAGCCTGAAACTCCAAGTTCTTGGAGAGTGTGAAGGAGGATCTGATGATTCACCGTGTCGAATGCAGAAGACAGGTCCAACAGGATGATGACAGAGGAGAGGGATGCAGTTTTGGCAGTGTGCAGTTCCTCCGTGACAGCAATGAGAGCAGTTTCTGTGGAGTGACCTGCCTTGAAACCAGACTGGTGCGGATCCAGAAGGTTGTTCTGATTGAGATAACAGGAGAGTTGTTTAAAGACAGCGCGTTCAAGTGATTTAGACAGGAACGGGAGGAGAGAGACAGGCCTGTAGTTTATAACATCAGACGGGTTGAGAGTAGGTTTCTTTAGGAGAGGGTTTACTCTTGCCTCCTTGAGACTGTTTGGAAAGTGACCAGAAGTTAGAGAAGTGTTGATGAAATGGGTGAGAAACGGTAGAATATCAGGAGCGATAGTCTGAAGGAGGTTTGAAGGGATAGGGTCCAGAGGACAGGTGGTAGGGCGGGCAGAAGTAATGAGGGTAAGAACCTCACTTGGAGAGAGAGGGGAAAAGGAGGTTAGTGTGTTGGTGGAAGGAGGGTCTGGTGACCCAGCGGTGAGTAGGGTCACACATCTGATTACATGTGTCAGGATAACGTATAGAAATGATATCACGTCATCTACAGAGTATTTACAGATGAATGTTTGTAAATGGTACTGTTTTGTAGTCCTGATTTTCATTTACGCTGATTTGACTTTCTAAACCTCTTGGATTAGTTGAGCAAAAAACACTGTGCACGCTCGATATGCATCATATACTTGTCCTTATTTGCAGATTTGATGTTGAGGTAAATCCAAAAGTAACGGAAAGTGATCAAGATCGAAATGTATTGTTATAAATACATGTTTAGAGTTATCCTCCTAACTCTGTCAGAACGAGAGCTGCCGGAGAGAGGGGACTATTTTCTCTGTGGTGACGGCGTAGTGATTTAAAGGCTGTGAAAAACACGATGCAGGAGGCATTTGGCTGCGGAGTAGATCTGAGTACATTATTATTATCTCACGATGAAGAGGAGAGTGGGGAGGAATAATATGAATCCTTAGAAATGCACTATTTATACAGTTTGTACATTTCAAGTTTTTAGACTGTAGTGTAAATATGCACATTGACATCGCTACGACCTCTGCTTTTACTACTCGTCCTGCCTTCTTCTCTTCCTGTCTTTTCCTCTTCTGAATCCTATAACTTCTGCTCAGAACTCATATTTGTCTCCTCGTGTTTCTCCCTCTCTCGCAGAGGAGTGTTTTCCAGATCTACGATGAGTACTGTGGGAACCATGAAAAGGCCCAGAGGCTTCTGCTGGAACTCAATAAGATCCGGAGCGTCCGCACATGTTTGCTGGTGAGGCCTGGCTGTAAACACACACATAACGTCTACAATGAAACACAGTCTTTAAATAGCAGGAGTCTGTACCGTCTGTAATCCAGACTCGTAGACTCTGCTGTATTGATTGGTCGCTCCTTTGACCGATCACCTTGTAAAACATGGACGGTTGCATTTAAAAACAGCAAAATATATCTAAGATAATCTACATGTTGGACTCATCTGGACAAGTAGGATGCACAAGAAGAGGCCCAGATTTCATTAAATTCCTTTTGATATTACTTTTTGAACCTTCAAAGGTTATCTACAAGATTTCAAAGTGTCATGGGGTGAGTCATTGATATATAAGTAATTATTTGATGGGTGAAAGTATTCCTTTAAGTCCAGTTCCTTCAATCATTAAGGCTAAAGAAGTGGTGCAATTGTCAATTCCTCGTACGTGTCGACCTACCTGGTAATAAACCTGATTCTGATTCACAGCCTGCATGTTATCCATTCATAAACGCTGCAGCACCACAAAACCTCCATTTCTTTAGTCCATCAGGAATGAAGGCATTTTTTAATCTGGTCACTTCTCAAACCCCCTCTCCTTCCTGCAGAACTGCATGCTGCTGGGGGGCCGGAAGAACACGGAGGTTCCTCTGGAGGGTTACCTGGTGGCGCCCATCCAGAGGATCTGCAAATACCCCCTGCTGCTCAGAGTGAGGATACACGGATACACACACAGACACACACACACACACAGACAGACACACACACATCCTCTTCCAAAGCCGTGAGAGTGATCTGATCCTCTCTCCGGTCCCGTTAGGATCTATTCGTTCACCCAGCAGCCTCAGAGACGTAGTAATAATAATCTGAGACTCGAACCATTTGAAGTCCTCCAGCTGCTGGGCTTCTTTAACCTGACTCAGAAAGCATCAGATCAGTGTTCTCATCAGGTGTTCAGACTGAAGTTCAAAGCCACCGGCTGCAGAGCCACAGGAAGGTAAGCACGTGTGCAGAGGATACGAATCAAACATGTGTTCTTCATGCTGTTCACGTCGTGTGATCAGAAGACACACTCAAGGATCTCAGGAATGCTCGGAGAGGAATTCTCCAACTTTTCAGATTTCTCTCAAATCTTAGGTTTCCATGTGTTGCTTTGATGCGAGAACCTGAAGATGTTGATTTCCAAATCCACGCTGTAGCTTTTAGGCATAAGACAATAAAGCCTTTGCATTTATTGAATCTTGACTAGAGCATGATTTTAGTTGAGTTTCCGTCCATTTTCATTTTTGTGCAGAAAAAATCGAGCAGAAAATCCCTAAATGTGCAAAAAATAAATAAACCAAAGTACAAAGATATGCTCGGCTGAGGTTTATAGATAAATACATATAAATGATGACGTGCATGAAGCATTCAAAGTCTGTTTTGTTGCTACTCACAGATCTAGTGTTACCTTTGTCACTGTGATGGCCACAGCCACACGGGGTAACACCACACATTTGCTCTAGATGGTGAACTCTTTATTTGATTGTAATCTGACATTACTTCAAACATTTTAGCACAGCTAATACACAAGTATTTGTTTGTATTAATTACATTCTTTGTCTCTTGAGTTACCATGTCCATCGGGGAGGTTACTTCCTGGTTCAGCAAAGGGCGTGGCCGAGCGCTGAGGGCTCATAAATACTGCAAGGAGCCAATTGGGACAGATTGGGACAAACCACCTGCTTCCATGTCAAAGGGGGGATTTGGGTTTTGTCAGTGTGTGATGTGACTATTAATTATCCCTTGGGTTCAACGTGGTTTGGCCAAGCCCCTATACAGGTTCCTTGGTTTTTCATTGTAGCAGGTCAGTTGTGTTGAGGTAACACCTGTTATGTGCCTTTGAGGTATTTTCTGTTGACCTCTTTTATAGGCCTAGTTATTGTATGATTTCTTGTGGACTTCTGGTTTAAATAAAAACCCTAGTTTATTTAAACCACTCCTGTGTCCTGTTGCCTTACTGCTTGGTCCCTGACAGTCACATTCATTTATTAAATGAACACAAATGTCATATTTCCATCCAGCTTTCTACAAATGTTTTTACCCGTATAAGTTCTGCTTTTTAAATAACATCATCCTCTCATCTGGCCATAGCTCAATATGTGCTGCTCCTATTGCGTCCACTCCAAATGATAAGTGGTGGTGTTTCTGACGGACACGGTGCAGAGGCTGTAATTGTACTTGTTGTGTGCAGGAGCTTCTGAAACGGACCCCGAAGAAGCACAGCGACTTCCCTCAGGCGCAGGAGTCTCTGCAGGTGATGAAGGCCGTGTGCTCCAACATCAACGAGGCCAAGAGGCAGATGGAGAAGATGGAGATCCTGGAGGAGTGGCAGTCGCACATCGAGGGCTGGGAGGTGAGTGTGGAGGAGCATTGATTCATGAAATGAACACAAGGTCTGCTTTTTAAATAACATCATCCTTTTTTCAATATTTAAGACTTAACAAAAACAACTCCACTCCAAATGATAAAGAGATGATACTTTTGACAGACATGCTTTTGCAGAGGCTGTAATTGTGTGTTTGCTATGCAGGAACTTCTTCAGAGAAACTGATAAATGATTCATGGACAAAGTTTAACAAAGAAAGTCAACATGCAAGTGAAGTCGACCTCAAAGGAACAGAGCCGCTTCATCCTCAGGGTTGGCTGAATGCACTCTGTGTTCACATTGTTTTGATTGGTTTTGAGGACACATTCAATGATCAGTGCAGTATTACATTCAGAATGACCCAACACCCCTATAATGGTGTTTCTGCACCGATTAGTCCTGACATCAGGGTTTATTCCATTAAAGGGGGCCTATCATGCAAAATGCACTTTCTGATGTCTTCTCTACATCAACATGCGTCCCCGTGTGTCCCCTGTGTGTCCCCGGTGCGTCCCCCGTGTGTCCCCGGTGTGTGTCCCCGGTGTGTCAGGGAACTCACGCAGCGTCAGGAAATAAAACCCTCTCTTTTCCTCCGTACCCAAATCTCTAAAAACGGGGAACAACGGAGCTGATCCAGATTTGTGTCCGATATGACGTAATATCTGAAATGTGGACCCACGGACCAATCAGAAACGTTGCTATCAGAAACAATGCCGACTGTTTTGGACGTAATATGGTCGGTGTTTACATTAGCATCGCTAACACTCAGAGCTAACCTGTACTGGAGAGCATGTGTGTGAAGAAGCAGGAAGTAAAAAGGAACTCACCTTGTGGTATAACCGGCAAGAGAGAAAGCCTTTGAGCTCCAGACTGTTTCAGAGAGAATCCTTGATCATCCATGATATGGCGTTTCATCACGGCAGCATTTAGTTTAGACAGTAGCTGCCGGGTCCCGCATGAGCTCAGCCCCCTCCTCTTTAAAGCTTTATACCCAAATCAGCACTTTAGAAACAGGAAGTGAAATAGAGGGATATGAGGCGTGGCTAGAATGATCTGTTTGGTGTTTGGAGCAAAACACTTCATAGACATGTTTTTATATATTTGTATATATCTTCTCCTCAGGGTCTTAAAAAGTATTAAAAGTTGATGAATCAATTTAGCGAAAATGAAGCCTATTAAAAAGTATTAAACGGCATTTTCCAAGGTGTTACATTGTGTAGCTTGTTTCCAATAAGTATGTAAATGGTCCAGAGAGGTTGTGTTCTACAGTGTGCCTGAATGTAGTCATGGCGTAGGTGTGTAGTGTGATTCTGTAGTTTATTGATGGCATTTCCGTTGGGTTTGACGTCATCTGAACAGGACGTCGCACGCTCACTGCTTGATAGCGCGAAGCTCCGTTTACGCCGGTTGTTAAACAACATCGTTATGGGGAAATGCAAGTCTGCGTCCAAATGGTTGGAAGATAAGGAGGAAGGACAATCAATACTGTATATAGTCAATGTGAGGTAAAGTGTGTCGCCAAGGTAACCGGTTCAAACTCCAAGTGGAGATGAGGTCTTAACATGTATGGAAAGGGTCTTAAAAAAGGTCTTGAAAGGAATTCCATGTGACTTCAGGACTCCTGCATTTACCCTGTTACCTATGCTATTGCCTAAAAATAGCATGATAGGTGACCTTTAACACTTACATGTTTAAATACATTCAACGTGAAAATAATAAGAAATGCATTAAAGTAATAAATAAATAAAACATGTGGTCGGGGGTCCAAACTACTTTAAATTAAATCTCACACAGGACGTTACATGTGTGAGCAACTTTCAAAAGGCTCAAAGACGCATTGAAGCCACTTATCGTCCTGCGTGACTTCTGTCCAAAGCTTCTGGTTCTCTGGGAACAATGACCTGTGTAGGAGCCAACACGTTGATTTATTATTTTGATTATTTATAGGGATGCACGATATTGGGTTTTTGAAACCGATACCGATAACTTCCTGCTTCTCAAGACCGATACCGATAACAAAAAAATCTTTACGCCACTAATTATTTTAACGCGATTAACGCATGTGTATTTTGTTCCTCGGCCGCCCCGTAGTTTCAGAGCGCATCGAGTTTAAAATACCATCTACAAGCTGATGCTGACAGCCCCGCTCCTGCCGCCCGCTTGTGGCAGACCACACTTCCACGCTCACCGGCAGGCACCGACTGGCTGTTGGGAGGACCGGGAGGGTGTGTGTATGTGTGGCCCGAGCGAGAGAGAGAGAGACCTTACGTGCATTGTTGTTGTTAGCATCTGGTGCTAGCTAGCTGCGCTAACGGATATACGGAGCTGTTTAAATGAAAACAGAGGAGCGACATTTCGCCACAACTGCGCCGAGCACTTGACTTTATGCAGGAAGCCAGACAGTGGGACATTGTACGAAAAGTGTGCGCAACATGATTGCAGCGTCCAGGCAGCTCCGGTTCGAGCATATGCCTTGAGTTGCGTCACAGCCAGGCACGAGTTAGGGAGCGCTGGATTTGTGAAGAACTCCCCTCTTCCTAAACCACTAATACCACAGTACTGGCAAAACGGGAGGAGCCGAGTGAAAAACAAGCGCCACTCATCCGTGAGAGTAACACCTACGTCACTTCCGGGCAAAAAATACGGCCCGCCCACTTTTGGGGGAAAACAACGCTGTCATTTGAATGGCGGTCTGAAGTTTTTGCCAATCCGATCAAATTTTTTTGAAAACCGTCGATTTTCTGATCTTCAAAGAGCTCGGTTACGATGGCCAGACAGGCAAACAATTACATTCGATCATTGGTAATCGACAATCGGTCTTGATATATGGTTAAATTAAAATCAGTAGGCGAGGCTGTAATTTCTCCAGCTGTTACTCTCATGAGCGAGGCGGAACATAATAGTTGTATCATGCCAACAAGCTGCCGTGTCGTTTATTGCACATCAAACATTACAAATAATCCAGAGTTCAGTGTTTCTGTACTTCCTCTAAGAAGAAAGGACAGTAAAAGAAGAGCTCTGTGGCTTCAGGCCGTTCTTATTATACATCCATGCTTCAGGCTCGATCGCCGTTCAAATGACAGCGTTGTTTCCCCCAAAAGTGGGCGGGGCCGTAAAGTGACGTCGATGGTACTCTCATCTATGAAAATCGATGGCCTACTGCTATATTTAACCACATATCGAGCCCGATCGTCGATTTCTAATGGCTTAATGCAATTGTTTGCCTGTCTGGCCATTGGAATCGGGCTCTTTGAAGATCCAAACATGTTTCCTTACATTTCTGATCGGATTGGCAAAAACTTCAGAATTTGTATTGACCGCCGTTCAACTGACAGCGGTGTTTTCCCCCAAAAGTGGGCGGAGACGTTATTTTTGCCCGGAAGTGACGCATTTGTTACTCTCAATTACCCAAAAAATATATTGTATATTATCGGGGCTATTAATACTGGTATCGGGTTTATCGGGATGACGTCATAATTCCTAATATCGGGCCGATAATTATCGTGCATCCCTAATTATTTAATTATTTAATGTATGTAATGGAGTATAATTGATTGGTTTTCAGGTGATCGCAGCCACGGCTGGGCGGAGCGGCTGATTGGTGCTGCGATTGCCTCAGCTGGTTAAAAGAGTCCTGCTGATTATACTCTCCAAAACCAAAGAACAGAAAAGAGCTTAAGAAAGGTGGAAAGAAGGCTCTTTTAACCTTCAGTATGTTCTGCACGGAGGAGCGTGTAGTGAAAGCTTCAGGGTGGGGTCTTTAGATTAGATAACTGATGGTAATAAAGCCTTAATAAGTAGACCTGGTGGGGGATGGGAGAGAAATAGTCATTAGAATGGATGATTATTGAGCTCTGAAGTGTCCAAGAAGTCAACTTTAAAATGAAACTGAAAACGCAGCAAATCTCAATTTTGACTGCAGCGTCTGTTTGAAACCTTTCTGTAAATGTTGTTTAAGTTCAAGTCAATGTTTTTCCAGAAAAGACTGAACATGTCCATCCCAGTTTCTCAAGATCCAAGGTGATGGCTTTAAATAACTTGCTCTGCCGGTCCAGAACTCAGACATCAACTGAAATATGATGTGAAACTGAGCCTGAACTCTTCATGTTTTCGAGGAAATCCATTCATTTTTGCATGAATTTCTCGCTAAGATGATGAATCAATCATTAGAAAAGTTGGCCATTAGATTTCTGTGGACTGCCTAAGTGTTAGGACATACTTTTCAATTACATTTCTTTAACTTAACAGAAGGAGAGAGTGCAGAAACATATTGTTATCTTCACACGAACACAGCTTAAAGTCTGAGAGGCTGCAGATCCTCTGGTTTCCTCTCTGCACTTTTTATTAATTATAAACATGATGTCGTGTGTGTGTGTGTGTGTGTGTGTGTGTGTGTGTGTGTGTGTGTGTGTGTGTGTGTGTGTGTGTGTGTGTGTGTGTGTGTGTGTGTGTGTGTGTGTGTGTGTGTGTGTGTGTGTGTGTGTGTGTGTGTGTGTGTGTGTGTGTGTGTGTGTGTGTGTGTGTGTGTGTGTGTGTGTGTGTGTGTAATGAGGAGTGTTTCACTTCCTGCTCCTCCCCACTGATTGCTTGTTGACCAAAAATAAATATGTTAATTTTAGAGCATCGTCGAGTTGTTTCCCACATTCTTCATTAAACTTAAAACCCGCTCGAAGTCGTGGAGTTCTCTTGATTCGCCTCCACCAGTTTAATGAATTAAATTTCTCTCGTCTCTCCAGCCAATACCACTTCAAGAGCTTTCTCTCACACACGTTCCCCTTTAATGAACGGCGATGCGGCTTTATCCTCGCCTAATTTCTTATTCATTTCTGCCGTTGTTATGTCTGGCTGCTGTCTGGATGTAAAAATAGAGGATTGAGATGAAACAGATGAGGGTTTAAAACTCTCAGTGAGGAGCAGGGTTACAGTGAGGAGAGTAGGGGAGAGTAGGGGAGAGTAGGGGATGGGAAAAGTGCAGTTTTTGGGGGTTTGAAAACTCGTTAAACACAAAGAGGAAGTGTCTGCTCTTCCATTAGAGAGGTCTGGACTTTAAAGTGACCAGGACAAGTTTCCACATCTGTTCCACACACACACACACACACACACACACACACACACACACACACACACACACACACACACACACACACACACACACACACACACACACACACATACCATGTATACATCACTTCAGGGGACATTACATTGACTTACATGCATTTCCTGGAGACTTATCCTAACCTTAACCATAACCAACACATGCCTAATCCTAAACCTAAACCTAACCAAGTCTTCACCCTAAAATTAATGATTCCCCTCATGGGGACCTCCATTTTGTCCCCATAAGGGAAGCCAGTCCCCACACGTGACTATGTAAACAGATTTAGGTCCCCACAAGTATAGTAATGCTAGACCACACACACACACACACACACACACACACACACACACACACACACACACACACACACACACACACACACACACACACACACACACACACTGTCCAGCTGGAACCAGTTTAACATCTGGGGAGTGAAGAGGGAAGAAAGTGTGCACTGTGAGAGATAAAGGGAGGATGAAGAGGGGGAGGATGAAGAGAGGAGAAAGAGGAAATCCGAACCACATTTTCTGAGCTATTTTTAGCCGTGATCAAACGTTGGACATAAATCCCGGAGCAGGCGAGGTGAGGCCGGAGGAGACTGGGTGTGAGGGAAGAACACGTTTAAAGCAAAGTTATGTTTAATAACAGAATCAATGCTGAAGACAATAGAGCCTTCAAATCTATTGAGTCTTGAACTCGAGCAGGTTTCTTTAGTTTTCTGCAGTCAGTTGAGTTTCCGTCACCAGTTTTTGCACATTTTCAATTTTGTGCATGAAAAAATGAGCAGAAAAGAAATAAACCAAAGTACAAAGATATGCTTGGCTGAGGTTTATAGATACATACGAACATAAATGATGACGTTCATTCAATCTATTTCCAGCGGGAAGGACCACCTGCAGCACTTCATGTAGACTCTGACCAAGTTACAGGGAAGACAGGAAGGATCCATTCAGCTCGGACATGGGGCGTGGCTCGGAGATTTCATTTTAATTTCAAACCTTTATTTAACCAGATTGGTCCCATTGAGATCATAGATCTCTTTTTCAAGGGAGACCTGCAGCATATAGGTTCCACATGAAACATAAAACAATAAAGGACATCATATTTACAGGATACATTTACATAGTTATAGACATTTACAATCAATCAACAACTTTATTAATCCCGCAAGGGGCAATTGGTTATGAGCAGCAGCTGATGTCATGAACACAGGCAGGAACATACAGAACACACACAGATAAATAGTTCAAAGCATCACAATAATACATAAATAAATAATCAAGTTAAAAGCCTTTTCAAGAATTTAAAAGTTTGAGTGCAGAAGGGATGAATGATTTAGAAAAGCGATTAGTCCTTTGAGCAGGTCGAGCACATCTTCGCCCTGATGGCAACAGACGAGATTCATGTGAAAGAACACGACCTGGAGAGTTCACGATGCTCTCTGCTTTCCGCAGAATCTGCTGGGGACAGAAGGAGTTTCAGTCTCTCTGTTTCACGCCGATGATCTTGGAGCAGGTTTTAACAATGCTGTTCAGGCTGTTCCTGTCTTTCAGTGTGAGGCTCTGGAACCAGCAGATAAAAGAAAAACAAATAAGGCTGCAAGTGCCCATAGTATCAATAGATGTCAAGTCTTAAGAAAGTATAGCATATTAATAACAACCCGAGCATCCATTCGATGATGGTCTGACCAGGTCAAGGCGACACTCTTCTGTCTGAGAGCATTTTGTAGTTAGGAAACCTATATATATATTGAATTATTATAAATTCCCATCATAGAGACATGGCTCCCACAATGCAACAGTGACTGCACGGGATGTCATTCTATGGACGCTAGTAACCGGCGTGCATTTAACGCAGTGAGGTGTTTCCACAGAGCCCTGAGAGGAAGGGCATCTGTAAAACGTGCAATATGTAAAATGAACTTTGGCATTTCAGAGCAGATGTGTCCCACATACTCTAAAGACATCACCACGTGCATGCTGCATGATAGGAGACCTTTAAGTCAATAAGTAAGAGTATTTCTTTGCTTCTTGGCGATACACCTCATGCTGTTGGAAAGCCTGCTTCTTGCCTTCAGAGGAGGAAACCCAAATGCTCAGCTCTGCTGCTCATCCCACAAATAAATGTTCCTCACAAATGTCTTACCTCTCAAATGTGGCACCATTTGAGAGGTAAGACAACAGGCTTTCCAACAGTACAAGATGTATTATATATAAATCATCTGCCAAACACACGTTTCCTTACTTTTTGTGTAAATAAGATTTGGGTTATTTTAGCGTTTTGTGTCTTCTTGGTAATCATCGGTGTGTTTTGGGTCGTCTTGTGTCTTTCTGGTTATCTTGTGCCTGACATTTCCCCCTCCTGTTCATCTGCAGGGCTCCAACATCACAGACACGTGCACGGAGATGCTCATGCACGGCGTCCTGCTGAAGATCTCTGCAGGAAACATCCAGGAGAGAATCTTCTTCCTGTTCGACAAGCTGCTCGTCTACTGCAAGAAGAAGAACAGGTGCTCCAGGTTCTTCTATTCATGCAGTGTGTGTCCCTCTTGTTCGGGACTCCTCTTGCAGAACGTTCATAGCTTGCACTTATAAATAAACTTGTGCACTTAATTCATTATTCACTGCAAGTATAAGAAAAGAGAGAACTGTGGGAAGCTCTTTATTTAGACCCATGGGAGGGATTGTTTAACTTTGGGACATTTGATCAGTCTTCAGGACGTGTTGGTATTTTTCAGGTGATTAACTAAAACTCAACGAGGACAGAACTCTTTGAAATCTTAGCCAAACGTGCTTTTCCTCCAGTTTAGACAGTTAACACTGTCTGACGGCCCGTCCACACGGCGGCGTGCGTTGAAGCTTCAACGCTTCTGCCCATTCACTTTGAATGGGGTGACGTTTGCCGAACTGCATTGTGGGAGCGTCGCTTCGCTTTGCTGGCGTGGCTCGCTTCAAAAGTTGATCAATGTTCAACTTTTGAGGCTTCGGCGGAAGCGTCAGCCAATCAAATCATATGTCAGTACAAGCTCTAGCCAATCAAACGGCGTGCTTGTGTGTCCGGGGCGGGAGATTCATGTGATTGGTCGTCGGTCGAGTTTCAGACACGCCCGCCGGCGAGCTTCAACGCACGCCGCCGTGTGGACGCTGCGTAAGGGTTTTTATATTGCTCTGCAGGAAATATCCACAGAGCAGAACATATTTTAACAGTTTGTGTTCTTTCCAATCTAACTTTATTTATTTTAACGACAACACAGTTGACCAAAGTGTACATCAATAAATATATCAAAAGCAGCATAAATACATTTAGACAAAACCGATGGGACAAAAAACTAATGTAAAAACACGAGACAATAAAAGCATATTTACACAGACTGAAAAAAACTCTCATACAGGATGTAAAACATTTGAAAACACAACACAATAGAAAACCCCAATTTAAAGCACGTCTTATGCCCCGGCCACACGAGGACGAAAACGGCCGTTTGCGTTACTGTTTAGTGTCATATAGACCATTCGGCCACACGAGGACGACCGCATACGGCACTAAACGACTGAGGAAACGACAACGGGTCCCAAGGTGGATAGAACGGCATACGCAACGCTCTGGGGGGTCCAACGGCTCCGTGTGTACGCCCTATACCAGGGGTACCCAACCAGTCGATCGCGATCGACCGGTCGATCGCGGGGAGATTCCCAGTCGATCGCGATATGTGTCTAAAAATAGAACAACAATATTCTGTTTTATCGTTAATGTCCTATATCATAATCTTCCTGTGCCAGAATAATGCACTTGAACGCATCAAAGCTTTGTGATTGGCCGGCGTGACCCCATGTGTCGGGGCGTGGCTGGTGGGCAGTGGGCACTATTTCGCTGACGTTGTCCGTGTCAACAAGAGTGTCAGTCCGCAGTCCGCACACACACACAAGACCGCAATTATGGCAGAAGCAAAAAAGCCCAACATATATAATTTTCACTCCGAGTGGGAGGATGATTATTTTTGTATCTGTTCCAATTCAAAGTTCATCTGTCTCATCTGCAATGCGAGCGTGACTTTATCGAAGAAGAGTAATTTAGGAGCGGCATTTCAAAACAGTGCACAAACGCTACGAGACGGAATTCCCTCCTAATTCTGCCCTACGCTCCAAAAGGGGAGGGGCCTGAAAGGACAGCTAAATGCACAGCAGTCCATTTTCCACCAGGCCCAACAACAAGAGCAAGGCTGCTACCAGAGCATCTTATCGTGTCAGTCACGTTCTTGAGAAACACATGAAGTCTTTCCAGGCTGAAATGACTGAGGGGGCTGTTCAAAAATCCTAGGGGGCGACTTTTTTTTCACAACAACGAAAAATACTGGCAATGTAATGAATTGACACACCAAGTTTTTTTCATTCTCACTGCTCTACAATCTCTTTGCTTCTTTATTTGTATTCCGGATTGACCCCTCTCATTCTGTTCTTTTCCTCTGATCTTTAATAATAGATAGTACATTATTAGATGCCTGCACTTTGTTAGTCACGTTAACAGACTAACATTGATTTCCTCAATTTATAAATGGACAGGCTCTGTAATTATACCATAACCTTTTCTCCTCTATCCCTTAACTCGTCTTCCTATACAGATTTATTTACTTACTATCTACTCTAGTCATATCAGGATTAAAGACAAATTAATCTGGTTGATTTTTATTTTCAGGATTGAATGTTCAAACCAAGACCTAAAACCTGGCATTCCATAAGAAAGTGACTAATATATAAACCAAATGTAATATTGGATCAAATACTACACCAAATGGACAGACACAGATTAAAAATCCGTCACTAGTTGTCGCTCATTGTACCAATACGGTTTATATAATAACATATTATTATTATAGTAAAAGGGCTCGCTTTGGCAAAAACCTGATCCATACAGGCAGCCCTAAATAATAACAGGTAAGCATCATGTGTGGTGCTATCTGTAGTTGTCTTATTTTTTGTCGATTTCATCTCGTTTTCATAGAGCTGTGGAAATGAATTTCTCCCTGGGGGCAATAAATCTAATTTAATATTCAATCCCACACTTGGCGATTGAGAACATACATTCGTAATTTACCTCGTTTAAATCACTTTTGTTCTAATACTATGGATTTAGTTGACACTACTAGCCGACTTTCTTTTGTCCAATATTTTGCGGGAAGGTACATTGAATTAGAAGCTTCTTATTATACATCCATGGGTAGAAGAAGAAGAAGAAGTAGAGGTAGAAGAAGAAGAAGTAGAGGTAGAAGAAGAAGAAGTAGAGGTAGAAGAAGAAGAAGTAGAGGTAGAAGAAGAAGAAGTAGAGGTAGAAGAAGAAGAAGTAGAGGTAGAAGAAGAAGAAGTAGAGGTAGAAGAAGAAGAAGTAGAGGTAGAAGAAGAAGAAGTAGAAGAAGTATTAGAAAAAGAAATACACTAACACTACAAACAGGCACAACACTGTTACTCTGTTTTTACTGACATGTAACATTTTATTTCACCTGGCTCTATGTTTTTTAACGCACATTCCGAAAATGGGGACTTTGCCCGGAAAACAGGGACGTTTTGGTCCCCCATCCGACTGTGTTTACAGCTAAGCACACATGCTAACATTAATTAAGACTACAAGCTCACTTGGGGTTGAGGCTTGTTTACACGTTGCTTGACTGCCTGCCCACGTATCTGATCTAAACATAGTAACGTGTGTTGGGGAAAATAATTATTTAAAGTTATTTAATAATTGTGACATTTATTTAACTTTTCGATGGCTGAATGATGCTCAAAGTGAGGGGGCAAATAAAACAACTTCGGGGCAATGCCCCCTTTTGCCCCCTCGTGGCGCCAGGCCCGAGTCTTTCAAAGACGGCGAAGTTGTGAAAGAAGCTTTCCTGGAGGCTGCCGACGCGCTTTTTGGGGACAGTAAAAATAACAGTAGCATTTCAACAGGTTTTTGATATAATAAAAACTCAAGTTAGATACCGTTATTAATCAGCTGTAAGTTTTTGTTTATTTGAACTTATTCATTATAATTATTGTACAAAATGGTATAAGATAAAGATAAAGGTTATAGTCTATTATCAATTCAGGTTAAGTTAAGAAACTAGTGTTGCTTGCATCCTATTTTAAAAGGCATTTATTTTTATACTCTAATAAATGCAACAAAAAAAGGGTTTGATTCTATTAGTTTTGTCTTTTTTATTGCACGTTGGCAGCAGATTCCTGTAGCTTCAGATCTGAGTTGTCTTATTAGTAAGCCTAATTTATACTTTTGGAGCAACACTACTCAGTTTTACACAAGTAGAAGTGTGTATTTACCTGGTAGTAGGCTGTCAGTAATGGCTACGCCTGGACGCTTGGACTGGTAGATCTCGGCAGACTGGCAACTTTAAAAGTAGCTCTCGGTTCAAAAAAGGTTGGGCACCCCTGCCCTATACGAACATGTTCTGATAGTGATTGCGCAATAGCAATAGCCCCGCCTCTCCCCACCTCTGCTGCTCACCTCCGCGTACCCCGCGCCATTGCTGATGTGTTTCGCCACCAACAACAACAACAATGGCGGATCGCAGAGTTGCTATCGTGCTCCGGACGCTACTGACCATGCTACAGTTCTTTGTGCAACATCTACAGCAGACTTACACATCCGGGGGGGGGGGGGGGGGAATCTTACTCGCTGCTTTTGTGGATATGTACTGCAGCTTCAGCGATCATTTTCTGATAATGATGAGGCAATAGCCCCGCCTCTCCCCACCTCTGCTGCTCACCCCCGCGTCAAAGTAAACTGCACACTGAATTCAGATTATTTATCTTTCTCTCGATATGGACATAAACGCGAGTGAAGTCTAATCTGACAGGACGGAGACACCTCTCAAACTACCTAGTTATACATATGTTTATTTTTACTGTCGGCCGGGTCACTCGTTACTGGATCAGCTGCTGCATGAGACAGACACTGGCGCTGTCCGGAGAGAGGGAGGAAAAAGAGAGGCTCCGTGTATTTTATTATTATATAGAGTCGTTATTCATTTGTTTTGAAGCTCAATAAATAACAAAGAAGACCTTTGACCGGAAGATTTAAACTTTAATTCACGTTGACTGGCGAAAAACTCTGCCCGGTTCCCTCGGCCCCCACCGCGGAGAATACACAGAAGGGCAACCATGACAACCATGCTTCTTCGCTGCTTTTGTGGAGGAAGTTACAGCGCCACGTACAGGCTCCTGCATGTACTGCAGCTTCTCCAGCGGTTGGAGCTAAACAGAGCGTTCTCGTGTGGACAGACACTATCCGTGTGGACGGAAGCTTGTTTGCGATTGCGTTAATCCTATGCATTTAGCCGTTTTCGTCCTCGTGTGGCCGGGGTCTTATAAAACTTGTTCTGGACTCCTCTTGCAGAACATTCATAGCTTGCACTTATAAATAAAGTATGCACTTAATTCATTATTTACTGCAAGTATAAGAAAAGAGAGAACTGTGGGAAGCGCTTTAGCTTTTCCTGCAGAAGAGGAGACGCATGGGAGGGGGTTAATAACTCTGGAAACAATGACATTTGATCAGTCTATGTTTCTGGACATGTTAGTAGCTTCCAGGTGATTAACTAAACTCAACGAGGACGCAGAGACATTTTCTAACATCTCAATAACTTCTGTTTGAAGAATAAATACGTGAAGTAAACTCCAGATGCACAAAATGTTCCTAACCCTCAAAATGTGCTTTAATAGATCAAATATAATAAATAGTTAATCACTAGATAGCTCCTAGTTAACACTGTGAGGACAGCTGTGTGCAAACACTTTGAGAGAAAGGGTTAACTCCAGCTGCACCAAAGCTGCTCTACCATCAAGATGTGCTCTTGATTGATCCACATGATTAAAAGAGTGTATTATTATTCTCTTAAAAACTATTTAACGTCGGCTGTCATGCTGTGTGCGAATACTGTGGCACATGCACACAAGTTGGAGACGCCACCGAAGCAAAGTCTGTAAGTTCAGCAGGAGGAACAAATCGAGGACGCAAACCAAACTAATATGCAATGTGTTTGTATATTGATCCCAGCAGGCATCTGCCCTGCTCCTAAATGCAATGAGTTCTTCTTTGGCCGTTTCTACTCACTTCCAGCAAGTTTCAGGGAAATCTGGAGAGTAGATTTAAAGTAATCCTGCAAACAAACAATAGAATAGTTTAATGTCATTATTCATGTACAATGAGATAAATGCTTCTGCCTTTCAAGAGTGCCATCAAAACAAAAACATCACAACATAAGACAACAAAACACACGCAGCATACATACTTAGGGATAAAGCATAAAGAATAAAGTGCAGTCATTATTTCCAGGAGTATAAAAATAAAATCTGTAATGTAATAAATAATAATAATAATAGTGTGTATTTATAATAATAGTAATGATATATATGTATATGTACAGAGTCACATTGATTCACATTTACTGTGTGGAGATCTGGGGAAACACGTACAAAACCAACCTACAGCCGTTATGCACATTACAGAAAAGGGCTATAAGAGTTATCAATAATGTTGGATATCTTGAACACACTAATGTATTATTTTTGAAGTCACACATATTGAAGTTCATTGATCTGGTTAAATTTAAAACGGCACAAATCATGTACAGAGCCAGACATCGACTTCCTAGGACATTACAAACATTGTTCGTAGACAGAGAGGGTGGGTATCATCTGAGAGGAAATCTACATTTTAACTCAAGGTCAGAACAACTCTGAGAAGTATGAGTTTAACAACCTGTGGGGTGACTTTATGGAATGGTTTGGAGCAGGAGTTCAAACAAAGCACAAGCATCATTCAGTTTAAAAGATGCACAGAAACACTTTTTGGGAAAACTATGAGAATGAAGAAAGTGATTGAAGATGAGAAATTATTGTATAAATGTAAATGTATGGAATAACTTGCATAATGATTTAAAGGACAATCATTGATCAAGTAAGGGGTGGGAATGAATAAGCATTTGCTTCCTCCTGCTCCCTTTCGGACACATCCATCCATCCATCTTCTCCCGCTTATCCGTGGTCGGGTCGCGGGGGTAGCAGTTCCAGCAGAGAGCCCCAAACTTTCTTTTCCCTGGCGACATCAACCAGCTCTGACTGGGGGATCCCAAGGCGCTCCCAGGCCAGCGAAGAGATATAATCCCTCCACCTGGTCCTAGGTCTACCCCTTGGTCTCTTCCCAGCTGGACGTGCCTGGAACACCTCCCTAGGGAGGCGCCCAGGTGGCATCCTAACTAGGTGCCCGAACCACCTCAACTGGCTCCTTTCGACGCGAAGGAGGAGCGGCTCAACTCCGAGTCCCTCCCTGATGACCGAACTTCTCACCTTATCCCTAAGGGAGACACCAGCCACCCTGCGGAGAAAACCCATCTCGGCCGCTTGTATCCGCGATCTCGTTCTTTCGGTCATGACCCATCCTTCATGACCATAGGTGAGGGTAGGAACGAAAATAGCCCGGTAGACAGAGAGCTTTGCCTTCTGGCTCAGCTCCCTTTTCGTCACAACGGTGCGGTAAAGCGACTGCAGTACCGCTCCCGCTGCTCCGATTCTCCGGCCCATCTCACGCTCCATTGTTCCCTCACTCGAGAACAAGACCCCGAGATACTTGAACTCCTTCACTTGGGGTAAGGACTCATTCCCTACTTGGAGTGGACAGTCCATCGGTTTCCTGCTGAGAACCATGGCCTCAGATTTGGAGGTGCTGATCCTCATCCCAGCCGCTTTCGGACACATATGATTTATTATTAATATGAAGACATTTTTTGTTGAATATACAAATATCACCATGAATGTGGATGAATACTGTATTATAACAATACGGTATTCTGTTTTTCACATTTGTTATTTTTTAATCTGTTGGAAATAAAGACTGAAAGAAAAGGTGTTCAGAGCAATGATGGCTCTTGGGAAAGAACTGTCTTTGAGTCCGTTTGCTTTGGATGTGATTCACCTGTAGAGAACATAACCTACGTGACGGCAATAATAATCAAATGATATTTGGTATGATCAGGGATCTCTTGCTGATGCAGAGCTTCGTTAATCCCTCCTTGTTTCCCCCGATTATCTCTTTTCCTCACAAATGTACTACGAGCTCATCTGAGTTAGCAACTATTATTTCTTGGAATTTCTCCTCATGAGCAAAGAATGCCGGACATGGAACAGGTTTTTATTTAGAAAAATCCGCTTTGCTTTCTTCCTGCCGGCTGTTTGCTTCTTATGGTCTGCAGGTAGCACATGAGAGCCGATCCACTCAATGTTCTCTGATTTAAATTCAATTAGTGGCGCTTTTGTCCTCCCTTAACGCGGTAACACACATCAGAGGATCGTAGTTAGTCTCTTATATAACCCTAAATGAGCTGCGACTGATTACATTGCATTTAGCTGACGCTTTTATCCAAAGCGACTCACAATAAGTACATTCGACCAGGAAGACACAACCTTGAAGAAAACAGAATCATATAAGTACATCAGGTTTCATAGAGCCAAACATTTCAAGTGCTACTCAACTGGCTTTAGATAAGCCAGTCCTTTATTAGTATAAAAGTGATTTGTTAATAGTTCTATCGCTGGAAGTGGAGTCGAAAGAGATGAGTTTTCAGTCTGGAAGGTGTGTAAGCTTTCTGCTGTCCTGATGTCAATGGGAGCTCATTCCACCATCTTGGAGCCAGGATAGCAAACCCACGTGTTTTTGCTGATGGGAACTTGGGTCCCCCTCGCAGCGAGGGTGCAGCGAGTCGTTTGGCTGATGCAGAGCGTAGTGCACGCGCTGGGGTGTACGTTTTAACCATGTCCTGGATGTAGGAAGGGCCAGATCCATTCACAGCATGGTAAGCAAGTACCAGTGTCTTGAAGTGGATTCTAGCAGTTACTGGAAGCCAGTGAAGGGAGCGGAGGAGCGGAGTGGTGTGGGAGAATTTAGGAAGGTTGAAGACCAGACGAGCCGCTGATTATACGCTGCGTTGTAACATGTCTTCTCTCTTTTAAAGACGTTTAAAAAACAGCAAGACGGCGTTGGAGGCTCCTCGCTTCCTGTTCAGAGGGAGGATCAACACCGAGGTGATGGAGGTGGAGAACGTGGACGACGGCACGGGTGAGAAATCCCAAAAAAGCATTTATTTCTCTACGCAGTTACACAGATATGATACTTTATATTTCGAATAGTGAATTTGTTCAACTTGTTCCTGTTCGCGGACGACTCAGCCCTGCTGGTCTCTGACAGGAACAGGTTGCAGGTTGAAAAAACCCTCAGCTCCGAGCTCGGCAGAATCTGCACCTGGCTCGCTGATAATAAACTATCATTACACCTGGGTAAAACAGAGTCCATTCTCTTCGGTTCGAAACATAATCTCAGCAAATCCGACGACTTCTCAGTTGCAGTGGGCGACATTATTGTCACAAGTAAGAAGGAAATTACATACCTAGGATCTATTCTTGAGGCAAACCTCTCCTGTGACAAAATGGCATCCAATGTAATAAAAAAAGTCAATCAAAGAACTAGATTCCTATACCGGATCTCCTCTCTGGTAAACAAAAACACCCTGAAGACTCTGGCAGGAGCACTCATTCAAGAGTACTATGACTATGCTTGCACGTCATGGTACCATAGCACCTCCAAGGCGCTAAAAATAAAACTTCAAACATCGCAACATAAACTGGTCAGACTACTGCTTGACCTTTCATCTAGAACCCACCTCACCTCTGCCCACTTTGACAACCTAGGATGGCTTAGAGTAGACGACAGAGTACAGCTACTTGCAATGGGCCTGGTCTACAAGATCCACTACACCTCTATGGTACCCATGTACATGTCAAAATGCTTCCCAAAGGTCAAGGAATACCATGATCATAACACCAGAGGGAGCTCCACAAATCATGTGAAACCCAGATTTGGCACAAAAAAGGGGGAATACACGTTTCGCAATTATGCCACATCAAGGTGGAACGCTCTTCCCACAACTGTAAAGGAAAGTAAAACTATACTTACCTTCAAAACCTCTCTTAAAGAGCACCTTCGGGGGAGAGCATTGCAAAACTGGCCCCGGTAATGGTACAAATCTCAACCTGTCGTTCAATGGACAGCTTCCCCCCCCCCCATCTATGTATATACTCGCATTTTAGACTCTGTTACTAACTGTATATCTGTAGACTTGGTATGTCTTAAATGTCCGGTTAGGATGTATTAGAACGAAATCTAAAATGTAAATTGTAAATAAGCCATCTGTATGTAAAAAACCACCTGTATGTAAAAAACCACCTGTATGTAAATTGTAAATAAGCCATCTGTATGTCAAATATGTCTTATATGTCTTAAATGACATGATGAATTGGAAATGGGGGACCCTGATGTAAACAAGACGAAAGTCTTTCTCTGGTCTTCATCCCCTTAACAATTGTATGTTTTGAGCTGTACTGTACTGTACCCAATATACAAGCTGTTAATAAACTTTTCAATCAATCAATCAATTTAAGATACTTCACGATACAATCGATACGTTGCATTTAGATGCTTTTTGATTCGATAAGATATAGGGCTATAACGTTCACAGAAGTCACGGTTCAGTACAACAAGAAAAAGCAAAACAAAGCATAATGCATCATTCCAGGTTTGTTATTTATTTTGAACAGTAGAGCAAGTTTCAGTTTACAAATAAGGAACTCTGACATTTTGAATAATTAACTGCATTAAACGGTTAAAACCAAACCACAAACACTCAGATGGCCATATTATCTATAATGGCTGATGTCAAACAAAAAGGTTCAATAAGCTGTAAAACTAAAAAGAATGTCTTGAAAATATTACATCATAAATAATAAGAAAGTGTTTCAAGAGCGCATTCTTTCACACACACATACGGGTATTAGGCCGAGGGCGACACCGTACTTCCGGTATCCGCCATTTTACGCGAGGTGCAAGCAGGCAGAGGGTTTAGCCGTACACCGTCTAGGTGTTGCTAAGCTTCCTGTACTGAATATCATAGTCTTTTGCCTTAATCAATATAGTCAACTCTAAAATACCACATATATGCAATGGCATGATAATATTATTGTGACAAGTGGGGTATTCACCTGGTGTTTCCAGAAGATAGACGTAGATGCAGCCAAAATCGACGCAGTCTGTAAGGGCAATCCGACAACCCACACAGCTCTAGTGTACGCTGGTAACGACCTAGAGCACACCCTCAAGTCCAGAGATGTAATCCGAAGACATGCAGCGATTTCTTCGGTCGTTAATTCAGAAAAAAAACCTAGTGCGCTCTGCCTGGCAACGTTAGCTAGCTGTTTATATTTGCACCTCCAGGATATTTGCACCTCCAGGAAAATGGCGTATTTATATATATATATATGGCGCGCGTTGCATTGTGGGTAGCTCGTGACGTCACTGTGTGTGAAAGAATAGCTGCTGAACTGCTGTTGTCTTTCGCCGGGCTCCGGTGAGTGGCAAATCTGGCTGATGCCTTCTGATATGATTTAGCATGTGTGTTTCCATTAGCATACCGCACCGCTGTCGAACAACGCCGACACACCGTCCTCGTCCGATCCACTACTCGCACTCCATCGTTATTGTAGTCCACAGGGAACCCGAAATGTTCCCACACAGCTGATGTAAAAGAAGCAGGTGGGTTCTAGCTCCTGTGTGTTATCTGAAATCGCCAAACTAACTTTTCTTCTTCTTGTATTTTGTTCGTTTTGTTGTTGTGTTTCTTCTTGTTCTTCATGTGTTGTTTAAGGGCGGCTGGCAAACAGCTTTTAGGCGCAATCCCGCCCCCTGGATTATAAATAGTGTAATGGATACTGCCCTGACTTTTTTCCCACTCGTAAAAAAAAAGGCGTATTCGTCGTGTGCCGAACCGTGACGTCCGAACCGTGACGTCCGAACCGTGACGGGACGAATACGGATAGCGTTACACCCCTACTAAGATATGATTTGCTACTTTACGATACCTTAAGATTTGATAGGATACAGTTTGATTTGATACGATATGTTACTTTATGTTACGAATAGTGAATTTAAGATACTATACTATTCCATATGTTACGATACGATTTGATACTTTTTGATTCGATAAGATAAGATTTGCTACTTTATGATATGATTTGTTAATTATTTGATTATTTTATGGTAATTATTATTATATCATTGAGAGTAAACACGGAGCTAATGCAGTGTGGCTAAAACAGGAGTGGCCTTTTTAGGTATTTTTAAACATGTATAGAAGAACAGGTGGTAGAAGACGTGAAACCTCTACATCTGACCTCCTTAATTGATGCATTTAGGGGGATGAAGATGAAGATGAAGATAAGAATGGCCCTTTGAGTCATTCCCATTATTTCTGGCCGTCTTCGCACTCTTTATCTCCGTCTCTGTGGAACTTTTCTGAGCACCTGGTGGTTCAAACCGCTGATGGATGGTTCCTCCTCTCTTCCTCGTCTATCTCATTAGGGGAGAGCAGCGATAATCAATGGAGTGCTCAATGGAGTCGAGACACAGCTCTACCTCAACAGCCTCAAGATGGATGCTGTTTGGGGGAATTGGAAAACCCACTCCTGTGTATAATGCATCCCACAGCTCTCTGCTCTGCTTCCTGTTCGAGAGCCAATGCAATCACACTATATGATAATACTTTATCATTGAAGTCTGACATGTTTGTGCATCTCAGCAGCTCCATTTGCAACGTCAACATTAAGATAAGAAATAAGAAAACAGACATTGAACCTCACAGTAGATTTGATCTGGGATTAAACACGTTTTAAGGATTTATTTTCAAGAGACTCGTTGTTTTCAATACTTCTTTTAGTCATGTGACCTATGTCATACCAGAAACGATGAATCTTTGCATGGATATTCAGAAAAGAAAGTAGTTTTTTGTAGTTTATCCAATCTGAAAATAAGATGCACCTTTCTGATTGGATGACTGCAGCCTTAATGAGTCAGAAAGATAGACATATTGATGACTGTGTTGATCTGTTGAAGTGAAACTTGTGTGTGTGTGTGTTTCAGCGGATTACCACAGCAGCGGGAACATCGTGAACAACGGCTGGAAGATCCACAACACGGCGAAGAACAAATGGTTCGTGTGTATGGCCAAGAGTCCGGAGGAGAAGCAGGAATGGCTGGAGGCCGTCATGAAGGAGAGGGAGCGCCGCAAGAGTAAGAGATCAATATATCTGTAGATCAAACAGCTCAGGCAAGAGTAAGAATCAGAGTTATCAATATCTGTAGATCAAACAGCTGGTTGGTTGATTGGTTGTTGGGTGGCTGGTTTATGAATTGGTTTGTTGGTTGGATGGATGGTTGTTGATTGATTGATGGATGGGTTGGTTGGTTGATTGGTTTATGAATTGGTTTGTTGGTTTGTTGGTTGGTTGATTGGTTGATTGATGGATGGGTTGGTTGGTTGGTTGGTTGGTTGATTGATGGTTGGTTGGTTGGTTGGTTGATGGATGGATGGATGGGTTGGTTGGTTTGTTGGTTGGTTGATTGGTTTGGTTGGTTGGTTGGTTGGTTGGTTTGTTGATTGGTTGGTTGGTTGATTGATTGATGGATGGGTTGGTTTGTTGGTTGGTTGGTTGATTGGTTGGTTGGTTGGTTGGTTGGTTGGTGTTGGTTGGTTGGTTGGTTGGTTGTTGTTGGTTGGTTGGTTGGTTGTTGGTTGGTTGGTTGGTTTGTTGGTTGGTTGGTTGGTTGGTTGATGGATGGGTTGGTTGGTTTGTTGGTTGGTTGGTTGATTGATGGATGGGTTGGTTGGTTTGTTGGTTGTTTGGTTGGTTGGTTGGTTGAATGATTGATGGATTGCTTGAATGATGAATTGGTTGATTTGGTTGGTTGGTTGGTTGTTTAATTGATAAGTTAATTGATTGATTGATAATCTCCCCCTCAGGTCTTCGGCTGGGCATGGAGCAGGACACCTGGGTGATGGTGTCAGAGAAAGGAGAGAAGCTCTACCAGCTGATGAGCAGAGGAAACCTCATCAAGGACCGCAAGCGCAAACTCACCACCTTCCCCAAGTGCTTCCTGGGAAGGTAAGACCCTCTCTCCACCAAAACACTGAGTGAAGTAGTGAGTCATTTGTTTATAAGCAGCGGGTATGAATATGTCTTTCTATTTGATGGAAAGTACGCAGAGTTTTGAGTCAAATATACAAAGACCTGCAGAACATGCTGATATCTTCAGAACAGATTACACATTGTTTTAAGTTGGCAAGACTTTCTAAAGACGGCAGCTGAAGACGAAAGAAGCGTCGGCTCTTTTTGTGTGTGAATGTCTCATGAATCTGATTTAGGGATTAGTGGCGTGGCATCTGGGGTTTAAATACCAGCCGTAAATCAGAGCAGAGATTCCTGCACGCTCTCTTCCTGTCTCAGTTAGAGCATCTGCAACATGTGCACAGACACATGAGTGCAAACACTTCCTGCTTTGCTGCTAGGTGAGAATATTTACTGTAAATCCTTAAGCTGTTTTTAAACATCCATCCTCCAGCTTTCATCAGATGTCTCGCTGTCAGATAGCTTTTCATGCAAAGTATACAGTTAGTTTGAGTTGAGCTTCCAGAGTTTAATCCTGCCCCGAAACACTCTTTGCATTTACAATATAAATACTTCAAAAGTCAAAATGAACCTGCATGGATTTGGAATCAGTGCTGATTTGCGTAGGATCCAAATCTGGAACAGCAACAATTAGTCATTATAATTATTTATTCATGAGGAAATGTGGCTTCCAGCCTCTTAGATAAGGAGATCTGCTGCCTCTCTGCTTTTTATGATGATAACGTCAATATATTTGACATTATAGGACCTTTTATTGGACTTTGAGAAACTGAGATGGACATTTTTGTCTATTTTCTAATAATAACAATCTATTTTATTAATAGAGTGCTTTCAAAGGTACTCAAACACACTCTAAATGTGCAGGTTAAATACATAGAAAAGCCGTTCTGAAAAGGCGAGTTCACACATGATACATTTGAACATTGAGACGTTTTATTTCCCAGTGTTTTTTTACCCGAAATCGACGCCTTTTCAAACCTTTTTCTGGATAATAAAAGCCACAAACATCTGGCTGCAGCTGGACAACATGATATGCATGCCCTACATGCAATACTTCAACAGATACATACTAACTAAAGAACAAACCACACACATCACAGATATATCAAATGTACCCCCTACCCTTATAAAATGTCTATTACAGCTTTTTTATATACGCTGTGCAATTAAATAATAAAGTTTAACAAGACCTCTTCCTGTATTTATCCTATCGGCACCAACGCCTCTCAGTTTCCATCTGTTTGAATGTTTTTACAGATGTATGTGTCGTCTGGCAATAATCACACGAGCTAAAACACAATCCCAGTTATTTTTAGGAGAGGAGGGGGGGGGATATAAAACCATCACAAAGCCATAGCTGTGGTTTGATGGAGAGGAGGGGGGGGATATAAAACCATCACAAAGCCATAGCTGTGGTTTGATGGAGAGGAGGACATGGCTCTGCAGGACGAAGTAAACGAACACCTGAGAGAGATGGAAGCCACACCTCCACTCCCTCCTTTGTGAAGCTTTGATTCCCAACGCCTCCTCTTTCTCCATTTGATTGTTTGAACGCTGACGGCTATTTCTGGATCTCCTCCTCTTCCTCCTCTTCCTCCTCTTCCTCCTCTTCTTCAGATCTGTGGTTGGGTCGCAGTGACAGTTTTAATTGATCAAAGGAAATGTGTGTGGCAGCCGCAGCTTTAACATCCAGTTTCAAATATAAAACAAAGGAGAGATTTGGAGAGTCGCTCTCGTTCCTCCTCCTCCCCTCGCTCCACGATCAGATCTAAACTCCTCAAAGTGTTCGCAGCGTCTGTGACCCTGATCCTCCGTGAGAAGCTCACCTCTCTAACGCTGGGTGCTTTCCTCCAGAGGTTGGCGTCCCATGGCGCTTATTTTTGCCGGAGGAGCGAGGGGCGAGGGGCGAGGGGCGAGGGGCGAGGGGCGAGGGGCGAGGGGCGAGGGGCGAGGGGCGAGGAGCGAGGAGCGAGGGGCGAGGGGCGAGGGGCGAGGGGCGAGGGCCGAGGAGCGATAATGGAGGAGCGATAATGGAGGAGCGATAACCGAGGAACCAGCAGACCATCCTCCGATGAAATCCTCAGACACTCGCCCCGCCCCCTTACTGTGTATCGCTCACTGATTGGACGAGGCAGTGCATGCACTGATCTCATGCTTCTTGACATGAGAGCAGTTTCCCAGCGGAGTGAAGAAAACACATGAACCTCACGGGACTCACTCCTCAGTTTATACCGTGTTTTGTTTCAATTCATGTTTCATTTAGTTACAAATATGTGAAATATCTGAACAACAAAGTGGTCAAAACATGTTTTATTCATTTATTGGAAACATTTTCATGATCGCTTTTTTCGTTTATACATTTTAAGAATGGCGTTTATCTTTTTTGAGAAAGTTCTTATTGTATTTAATGTATTATGGTCTACAACAGATGATACAAATGTTAGAGTCAGTAAATGTGTGCTAACAGAGGCGGGGGTGTGTGTGGAAACAACGGGGACAGAGCTGCTGTCAGACGATCAGCTGTGCAGCGTCGCTTCACGTGACGCTCCGGAGGAAAGGACGTCCCATTGCTCTTAAAACTCATTTCCCTGCTTCTCGTGGTTTCCTTGCGTCTCTCCTTGCTTCCTTGGAGGGAGGGGCTAGACGCAGGGAAACGACGCAAGTGAGGGACGCAAGGATTCTATTGAACCGACCTGAGACGCAGCCCGAGTCTCTGAAGGATCCTCTTTCTCTCATCCTGTCTGAGGATCCGATGCTGTTTGTTTCCTCTTCTCGTTGTAAAAGCTGCTTCATCTTTCATTCCCATCATCCCCAAACCCTGCTGAATTCACCGTGCGTCTGAAACACATGAAGTCCAACTGAAGCCACAGCAGTAAATCAATCCTCTGACGAGAAGGTGTTTGTTTTCACAGTAAATGTTGGACCCAGCTTCTCTCCTCAGATCACCTCTCTGTGAGCGCTGGGGGTTTCCCATGATGCTTTGTTGTGTGTGTTGTAATGATGTGTGTGTGTGTGTGTGTCCGCAGTGAGTTTGTGTCCTGGCTGATGGACATGGGGGAGACAGGGAACCCAGAGGAGGGGGTTCACCTGGGTCAGGCTCTGCTGGAGAACGGCATCATCCACCATGGTATGATGTCACATGTACTGCCTCTGGTTTGATCTTTGTTAGTTTTCCCAAATCTAAAGCAAACCTTCCGGAGTCTCATTTACGTGGCGCCGCGGGATGGGAAGCAACTCATGGTCTGCAGATTCTCTTCTCAAATAAACTCCATAGTGTTCTTGAGTTGCTCTTCGTTCAGATCCTTGTCTCAAACCATCTGTATATTGTTTCCAGGCAGTCCTTGAAGATTTCAATTGACCTTATCTTTTATTTTCAGTCACAGACAAACACCAGTTCAAACCCGAACCTGTTCTTTATCGTTTCCGTTACGACGACGGCACGTACCACCCGCGCAGCGACATGCACGACGTCATATCCAAGGTAGAAGCAGATCCTCTTCACGTTTAAACCACATTTAACTCGTGTGTAACTTAAACACCTGTCCCTGTTTCTTCTCAGGGCGTCCGTCTGTTCTGCCGTCTGCACAGCCTCTTCACTCCCGTCATCAGGTACGACGACACGTTTCTTTTTGACTCTACGCAACTAAAAAAGAGGGAAATATGGCGGTGAACTTTGAGTTAATTGATTAACGAGGAGAGGAGGACAGATGGGGAGAAAACTGTCTTTCAGAAGTAGCTTAGGAACATATGCTGCGCAGATACTGTGAGGAACCCTTCTTGGTGCTTCATGTCATCAATAGAAGTAAAAGTACAAGTACTCAGATCTTGTAGTGAAGTTATAAGTACTCAGATCTTGTAGTGAAGTTATAAGTACTCAGATCTTGTACTTGAGTAAAAGTAGAAGTACTCAGATCTTGTACTTGAGTAAAAGTAGAAGTACTCAGATGTTGTACTTGAGTCAAAGTAGAAGTACTCCGATCTTGTACTTGAGTAAAAGTAGAAGTACTCAGATGTTGTACTTGAGTAAAAGTAGAAGTACTCAGATCTTGTACTTGAGTAAAAGTAGAAGTACTCAGATGTTGTACTTGAGTAAAAGTAGAAGTACTCAGATCTTGTACTTGAGTAAAAGTAGAAGTACCAGAGTGTAGGAATACTCTGTTACAGTAAAAGTCCTGCATTCAAAATGTTCCTCAAGTGAAAGTAGAAAAGTATTCTCATCAAAATATAGTGAAAGACAGTAAAAGTAGTCGTTGTGCAGATTGGTCCATTTCAGAATAATATATATGATATGTTTTATAATGATTGATCATGAAAGTGTTCTCAAAGCTGGTGAAGGTGCAGCTAGTTTGAATGGCTTTGTATACTGCAGGGTAGCTGGTGGATTTACTCCAGGTGGAACTAAAGTCTGATTCAACACTTGATTATATTTCACATCATTCATCCAGATCTGTGAAGTAACTAAAGGTATTAAAATACATGTAGTGGAGGAAAAGTACACCATGTACCACTGACTTGTGTTTACTGCCAACCTAAAAGTACCTCAAAAATAGTAATCAATAATGTATTGAAAAGTTATTTGGCTGATTGTTGTATATCGGCTCAGCCAGGTTATATGGGAGGCCCAGTCTACGACAGGTCACTCATTTTGAAATATTAAACTTGGTTTTCTTTTCTTTAATTGTTCATCCTCGTGTGGAATGCTATCACGAAACACACATTTGGTTGTTTATAGCATACAGAACATCTGATTTAATGTGAGGTAGGGAAATAATCATTTGAGTATGTGTATATAAATATGTAATTTACAACAGCTGTAAGATGCTTGAAAAGCTGGATAATGCACCTTGAAAATGCTTAAAGTGCTTGAATTTGACTTTGGAAAAGGTGTAAGAACCCTGTGAATGTTTCTCTGCAGCTTTCCACTCATCAGATGCTCCTATTGGCTGGCGCTGTAACACATTGTATTGCTGTGGTTATTTGGTGAAAGGAGATGTGTGGTCTTCCTCCTCTGCTGAGTCCTCACAGTATCTTTGGGTCCAATGCATTCACTACAGTTGCATATGAGTGCTGCTGTGGAGCATTTGAAAGAGGCCACGTTACAGTGAGTGAGACCGACCGCATGAAGCTGCTGGAAGTAAACATTGAGTTCTTTAAAATGATGCAAAATACAGATTTCTTTATTCAACACTGCTATTGTTGAAGTTCTGGTCCTGGTTTAGAGCCGTGTGTGTGTGTGTGTGTGTGTGTGTGTGTGTGTGTGTGTGTGTGTGTGTGTGTGTGTGTGTGTGTGTGTGTGTGTGTGTGTGTGTGTGTGTGTGTGTGTGTGTGTGTGTGTGTGTGTGTGTGTGTGTGTGTGTGTGTGTGTGTGTGTGTGTGTGTGTGTGTGTGTGTGTGTGTGTGTGTGTGTGTGTGTGTGTGTGTGTGTGTGTGTGTGTGTGTGTGTGTGTGTGTGTGTGTGTGTGTGTGTGTGTGTGTGCCTATCAAGGCCTTTGTGTTTGTGCCCGCAGAACAGATTTAATTTCACACAAAATATAAAACTCTCGGCTGCTGCTATGTTTCTGTTTGAACTCCTGAAAGCCTGGAGGAGGATGTGTGTGTGTTGGCATTCAGTCCCAAACCTCGTGACGTAGACACCCTTGAGTGTGTGTGTGTGTGTGTGTGTGGTACAATGCAGCGCAGGGCCTGGGAAACGCCAGAGTTTAATTGGAGCAGCCGGACCCTGAATAATTAGGTATAATTTCCTGGCCGAGCGAGAGATGAAGTGAAGCGGGGAGCGAACACACACACACACACACACACACACACACACACACACACACACACACACACACACACACACACACACACACACACACACACATACACATACATTTGAATACTTTATTTGGTTCCACAAATTATATTACATAAGACAGGGAATCAAATATATCGGGGCTAAGCAGCACAGAGCACTTAAGGGAACACATAGCACCTCCTTCTCCACACGGCTAAGCTGCAGCCTTAGGGGAACACATAGCACCTCCTTCTCCACACGGCTAAGCTGCAGCCTTAGGGAACACATAGCACCTCCTTCTCCACACGGCTAAGCTGCAGCCTTAAGGGAACACATAGCACCTCCTTCTCCACACGGCTAAGCTGCAGCCTTAAGGGAACACATAGCACCTCCTTCTCCACACGGCTAAGCAGCAGCCTTAAGGGAACACATAGCACCTCCTTCTCCACATGGCTAAGCTGCAGCCTTAGGGGAACACATAGCACCTCCTTCTCCACACGGCTAAGCTGCAGCCTTAGGGGAACACATAGCATCTCCTTCTCCACACGGCTAAGCTGCAGCCTTAGGGGAACACATAGCACCTCCTTCTCCACACGGCTAAGCTGCAGCCTTAGGGGAACACATAGCACCTCCTTCTCCACACGGCTAAGCTGCAGCCTTAGGGGAACACATAGCACCTCCTTCTCCACACGGCTAAGCTGCAGCCTTAGGGGAACACATAGCACCTCCTTCTCCACATGGCTAAGCTGCAGCCTTAAGGGAACACATAGCACCTCCTTCTCCACACGGCTAAGCTGCAGCCTTAAGGGAACACATAGCACCTCCTTCTCCACACGGCTAAGCTGCAGCCTTAGGGGAACACATAGCACCTCCTTCTCCACACGGCTAAGCTGCAGCCTTAAGGGAACACATAGCACCTCCTTCTCCACACGGCTAAGCTGCAGCCTTAGGGGAACACATAGCACCTCCTTCTTCACATGGCTAAGCTGCAGCCTTAAGGGAACACATAGCACCTCCTTCTCCACACGGCTAAGCTGCAGCCTTAGGGGAACACATAGCACCTCCTTCTTCACATGGCTAAGCTGCAGCCTTAGGGGAACACATAGCACCTCCTTCTCCACACGGCTAAGCTGCAGCCTTAGGGGAACACATAGCACCTCCTTCTCCACACGGCTAAGCTGCAGCCTTAGGGGAACACATAGCACCTCCTTCTCCACACGGCTAAGCTGCAGCCTTAGGGGAACACATAGCACCTCCTTCTCCACACGGCTAAGCTGCAGCCTTAGGGGAACACATAGCATCTCCATATAGCATTTGTTTGGCTTTTCTCTTTGACATTCCAGCAACTCTCAGACCAATCACGGTGCTTTTATATACATGGCCAAGACTTCCGAATATGAGTATGCTATGCACATCGAGCAGTGGTTGGTATTTGATATACTTGTCCTGGAAAGCCTGGTCCATGCACAGGTCAAAGGCACAGCCTACTTCTAACATTAGCACCTCCCTGTGGAGTCAACAGAAACCACATCAGGTGTATTGGGATGTCAGCAAAGACATCGTTGGTGAAGCCAAACCGTTCTGGTAGCTCTCTAGCGTGCTTGTACATTGCTGCGCTAGATGGTAAGATGTTTCGTACCGCATCAGACACAATGTCCACAGTACGGTCATGCCGGCTATGTACAGGCGTCTGTATGCATTACATCCATGTGTTATGTGTGCAATGGATTCTAGGCGTTGTTGTGAATCCTGATGGTTTAAACAGAATGGAGTGTGAATGCGAGGGTACCAGGTGGACAGGTTGTACTCAGTGGGTAATACCTGCAGTCTTGCTTTGATGGTAAATGTCAGAACATCCTCACCGACAGCGGCGTTCTGAAACACTGAGTGTGAGACTGAGTGGTCAGCAAACCCCAAACAGGCCTGTAGTCTGAGTCCACACCAGTGCTGCCTGATCTCAGACTGCTTCGTGCTGAGCAGAACCCTCCTTGCAGAGTCTCTGTGCAGTTCCACAGTCTCTTCCTGAGGTGTTGTGATGTCGGCCTTCACAACCACACTGGGGTCTGTGATCAGTTCATCAGAGACTTCAGTCTGTGTGTTGAGTCACACACACACACACACACACACACACACACACACACACACACACACACACACACACACACACACACACACACACACACACACACACACACACACACACACACACACACACACACACACACACACACCAGAGGTGTGGACTCGAGTCACATGACTTGGACTCGAGTCACCAATTTGATGACTTTGGACTCGACTTGACAACATCACAAAACACTTGCGACTCGACTTGGACTTGAACACCAATGACTCGGGACTTGACTTGGACTTGAGCCTTCTGACTTGAGGTGACTTGCTACTTTAATTCAGAGGTCTCCAACACGCCGATCGCGAGCTGCCGCTAGAAGAGCAGACTCCCGTCGGGGAGAGCAGAATCTTCAGCCGCTCCTCCTCTTGCTGAGAATCCTTGCAGGCAGGGGCGGGTCTTTATTTAGCTGGGCCACCATGCGGCCAATCATATGCGAGGACACACTAGGATCATACCATTATGTGAAAGAAGGGTGGGGGGCACAGCATGTGTAGTGGTACAGGCCAGCTGCACAGAGCGACGGGGAGCTGGATTTAAATGCAAGCGCGTCGGAAAAAGTCAAGAAATGAGCGAAAACTGAAAAAAGAAGCAGCATCTGGCTGCTTTTCAATGATACTGGAGAAAGAGCTGAGAGCAGGATCTGTAAAATGAAAATAACTTTTTTTTGGTAACCACTCAGGATTTATTGTCAGAGGTGGGAGAAGTTCA